AGCCACCGGGCAAACCAGGGGCAAGTCCCTGCTCCTCACCCCAGTGTGCAGGGCATGAGCACAGCGCCCTGCCGGTGCCATCCCCACCAGGGAAGCGGCACCGGAGCTGCTCTCGGGGCAGCGGCACAAGCGCACGGGGCAGCCCCGCACTGCAGGGCTGAGCACCTTGAGGGTCCCCGCGCCACGTTGGGGAGGAGCAAGTGCCACTGCCACCCTGGGCAGCCTGCCCGGGCATGCCTCCCGCGCCTGCTGGTGCCGCTTACCTGGAGCCGCCGCAAGGCCAGGGAGAGGAGTCGGGGTGGGTGCTCGAGGGGGAGGAGAGGCCAGCGGGCTGCGCGTGAGGCTGTGCGTGGCGGTCACTTGCGCTCGCCCTCCGCGGGGTGCTGCCCTGCAGTTATCGACATAAATAAAAACTTGGTGGTCTAAAGAAAGAGGTTTCCATGAGCCAAGAGGAGAAAACAGAAAGGGGAGCCCAGAGAACGGGGAGGGGAACAGACACAGACGGGGAGAGGAAAGTGGGGGTGGTAGAAGAAGAATCAGAAGTGTTTTCAGTTAGAAGCACAAAGGAAAAAGGAAGGAAGGAAGTTTAAAGCGCAGAAGCCCCACAGCACAACCCGGGCCGGCCGCGTGGCAGCGCCGGGAAGGCCAGTCCTGCCCATGGGCAGATCCCCCCCGCGCCCGGCTGCACGAGAGCAGCGGCGCTGCCGTCCCCTGCTCCGGCTCCCCCATTCCCAAGAGCTCCGGGCTCCTCCATTCCCGCTCACCCCAGGGACAGGGCCCGCACGGCTGTGGCCGGCACTAACCCAAAAGCTCCCCAGCCAGACAGCAGCTTGGAGCCCCGTGGGGGGCAGCAAGAGCCGCTCGTCCCGCACCACGTGAACCCCGTTGGGGACAGCCATGAGGGTGACCAGCCCCACAGGATGCCCGAAGAGAGGGAAGAGCTGCCACCCGCGGCAGCAGGACAGCCAGCAGCAGCACCGCGCGCCAGGGACACGACGTGGCCAGCGAAGCCTCAGGACGAGAGCCCACGCTCACCTTCTTGGCAGAGAGCGCCAGCTTCTTGGCCGGTGGCGGTGACATCGTGCTGCTCAGGTCCGAAGCGGTGCTGCCCAACAGGGAGGATTTCAGTTTCACCAGCTTGGAGTCTTCGGGGCCCGCCGGGCCGGCATCGCGGGCAGCAGGGAGCTCTGCACCACAGTCTGTTTCCTGAGAGGTGCGGAGGCCGCTGGCTCCGTTCTTGGCCTTCCTGGGCAGCTCCGGGGCTCTGCCGTGCGCCGGGCTGGCGGAGCGGCTGCTGCACGAGACCCTCTCGGGGGTCTCGGGGTGCTCCCCGCTGCCCCGGGGCTCCTGGCCAGGTGCAGCCGGTGGCAGCGGCTTGGGGGGGGGAGGCAGGTCCCTGCTCTCCCCGGCGCGAAGTGGCTGCTGCGGGGAGCCGAGCGGCTTCTTGGGCTTGCAGACTGCTTCACCCGGGGGTGCTGCCGCTGCCTGAGCACCCTTGGGAGCCAGTTTGGGCGAAGGGGACCCGGCCGGCGGCTTTGGCTGGGCGGTTCCGTTCTGCAGCTTGGGCGCAGTCGCCAGCGCGCTCCGGGCCACCGGGACTCCCATCTCCTCTGGTCCCTGAGGCTTCTTCCCTTGCAGCGGGTCCGGTCTCTAGGCAAGAAGAGAGAGCAGGTCATGCAGGAGAGCAGGAGGGAGCCGCAGAGGACATGGACACTCGCTCTCCCCCCTTCCCCATGATCCACACCTTCCTGCTGGGACCCTTCTCCACAGCCCGGGGCATCTCCCTTTAGGAGGCTCTCGCCTGCCTCCTTGGCAAGCGGGGCAGCAATTCGGACTCGTGGCCAGGAGCAGCCCTTAGGACTCACCCGGCCCAGCAGCGGGGAAGACGCGGGCCCATTGCTCACGCTTTTCTTGATCGGATCGGAGGCCCCAGCAGCGTGGCCGGGCAGGCTGGAGGCAGCCTTGGCAACGGGCCCTTCGGGGCTCTTCTTGGCACTGGGGATTCTGCGGAAGCAAAGAAACGCCCATGTTTACTGGGAGAATTGGAGCAACCGGGACGTTTTGTCTTGCCAGAGACACCGGAGAAGCAGGAGACAAACTTGGACAGAGGCTGCCACCCCCCTGATCTACAGCACAGCCACAACAAGGGCCTGATCGCCCCCAGCAACCCTCCCCACAGCCGGGAAAACGCCGGCGCTGCCTGGGCCATCGTCCTTGCCACCCGCGGGCACGGGCTACCAGGCAGCCCCCAAAGGCACAAGCCACTGTGGCGCGGAAGGACGGCACGGGGCACCGCTCACCTCAGGTAGAACAGGACATAGGCTTGCTGGTTGAGGACCACCTTGATGTTGCTGGAGTGGACCAGGGAATCGTTCATCTGGTACCACTGCCCGTTACCGGCCTGAGGAAGGAAAGCAACACGCGGTCGGGCTCGGTCCAGGCACCCTCTGGGTGGGAAGAGCAGCTGGAGACCCACGGGACACCTCTCCCTTCGCAGAGCCCGTCGGCAGCCGAGGGGAGGAACGAGGAGCCCGCACCCGATCACACCGCTCCCTGCGGCGCCCGGGAGCAGACTCCTCCGGGGATCTCCCTCATCTTCCTCACCTTCACGTAGCAGTAGTAGTGTCCTGCGTGGCAGCTGTACCCCGAGTGCACCAGCACCGCGTACAGGCTGTACATGACGGGGTCTCCGTTATTCTGGGACATGTAAGGACGGATGTTCAGGAACTCCGGGTACCCCACGTCCTGCAGAGATGGGATAGCTCGAGCACCTGCACAGACGCTACTTGCTGGAGCAGAAGCAGCTCCAACTGTCCTATAGGTCCCATCTTCCCAGGGAGGGGGATCCAATCTCTTCCCAGATCAAAGAGGGCAGCAAGATGCTCGCATGAGCTATAACCCCACTGCGAGTCACTGTGGCCCCAGAGCACGGCTAGTGGCAGAACGCGACCCGTGGCAGAGCTTGCCCGGGACCGTCCCCTGCCGCGTTCTGGGCAGCGGTGGCAGGAGCGAGGGCCCCGCTGCGGGCTCACCTTGGTGATCTTGCCCCCGCTGAAGTTGGCGAAGCGCTTCAGCGAGAGCGTCAGCACGTTGGAGGCTCGGTGGATGGTGAAGCGCTTGCTGGCTGGCACCTTCTTCTTGCACCTGCACGGCAAGAGCTCGTGCCACTGCATTTCCCAGGCTATTGCTAGCCTCGGCCAGGCCACGTCCCCGGGGGTGACCGTGGTGACACCGGGGCCCCTGCTCACACACAGCCACGTTTGCTGGCCCTGACGCTCTCCACAAGCGCAGGAGGGACCTGGAGGCTTCGCTGCGGGCAGGGCAGCCCCCGTGTACCGTGGCCATCCCCGGGCACTCACCTGGCACACATGTAGGCGTTCTCCCCGCTCAGCACGTCCGACCTCACGAACAGCTCCAGCGCTCGCACAATGTTTGCCGCTTGCTGCGGAGACAGGGCAGCGCTCAGGGCGCGCGGGGCCACCCCAGACCCGCGGGCCCGACGGCAGCTCCGCGGCGGCCAGGCTGAGGGGACGGGTGTCCAAGGACAGGAGGAGCACGGACAGCGAGGCCGTCACGAGGGCAGTCACAGCTCCCACACCGACACCGGGCCCCGCTCCGCCGGGCACGGGAGAGACCCGACAGCAGCTGCTGCCTCCGTGTTCCCCCAACCAGCGGGTCCCCAAGCCCCGCGAGCAGCAATAGCGGCACTGCGGGAACCACCCTGCCAAGGGCGCAGCTCTGCGCCTTTCCCACCCCGAGCCCTGCAAATTACCCTGATCTCCAGCGCCAGGTCCAGGTAAGGGTCATAGGTGTCCGAGACACTCTTGCACACTGAACATTTCACTGCAAGAGACACAGCAGTGAGCACGCAGAATGTGTTCCCACTATCTCCTCTGCTTTGCTCCCACCTCGTCACAGGAAGGGGCAGCTGGAGTGTTCCCCGTGCCCCAGGTTTTGGTCCCAGGGTACCAGCACCAAGACTCTGGCCATGCATTCATGGCCTGGCAAGAGAATGCCTGGCTAGTTCCCTCCTATGCTGGGAACAAGAGCACTGCTAGGGACTGCAGACACTGCTCTTCCCATAGGATGGCAATGGGGCCGCAGGGACCCCCAGCCAACAGCTCTGCAGTGCCACAAGAGGGGACAGACCCATAAGAGCTGCAGCTCCTGTAATTTACACGAGCTGAGCAATTTTCCCAAAGAGTTTTTTTTGGTGCAAGGCCCTCGGGTTTCTCTCTCAAGTGGGAGCCCCTGGAACCTGGACGCGCAGCCCGCACGTACCTCGGGAGCGCAGGTAGCCCCCGAAGATCTGGTGCACCAGCGTCG